GAAGTTCTCAAAAACAGAAAAAGGAAGAGGAATGAAACTATTCTTAACTTTTATGGTATTCACTGTTACCGGTTTGATTATTCAAGAAGTAATTGGTGTTACTGTCGTCGTCAAGTTTATTGAAGTTTATAAACTTATCTGTGGTGACACAGCGAGCGAAAAAATCCTTGTCAGATACCACACTCCTACAACTTTTTCATTTTAATAATAGGTGTTATTAATCTATGAAGGCCATTACTTTTGTTCTTCCTATCAAGATGCGAATTGAGAAGGAAGAAAGAAGAATACAATTTTTGTTACAATCTTAGTTCAAAATAGAATTTGATTATAACTGCACATTTTTCGAGAAGAATGAAGTAGACGAAGAAGGAAGAGAAAAGAAATTTTCTCATTAATAATAATGTTAAGAAAAAAGTGTGGTATTTTTGTATCTTTTCAAAAAAAAAAATTAAAGGCAGCTTTGATATTATAATACTCAATAAATTACACAACAGCTGTTATCTGTTAATGGAAGCAACTCCAATATCTGATTGTCTGATACATGTAATTTAACTGGACATGGATCTAGTCTGAATGATGATGGTGAGGATGAACTGACTAATGTTGTTGTTAATACTGACAATGGTGCTAAGTATGATATATAGAATGAAAATAGATTGGATAAACTTTGTGGGCTAGAAAGACAGGCCAGAAAACAAAAAGAAAATTTACTAGTCTAATGCTAAAAGCAGATGAAGAAGGCCTTTTAGATAGCTTTCGAGACTTTTAGTTTGGAAAGTAATAGAATGAAAAAATTAATGAAGAATAAATTAGGAAACGAAATTTAAGATTTGCAATCACTAATTATGGTGATATTCCGCCCCTCCGACTTTTCGGTCTTGGCTGTAGTTATCGACAGCGTAGCTTACAGTCCGTCATCGCTCCCGTGACATTCTGTTTAGTTCAGCATTTTCCTTTCCAATCTTTGTTAAGCTCACAAATTCTGACTTTCTTTATCTTAAAAAGGCTTATTTAGAAACTTTCTAAACATCGTAGATCATTCGCTTTCTTTTTAAAGATGCTGCTTTTCGAAACGGGAAGTAGTTTCTGTCTTGTTTAGCTGTTCGGACTGTTTCCACAGTGTTGTGGTCATTAAGTTGTTTGGCAGTTGAAACCTTTGTTTATTCGGCCGACTGACCCTCGTAACAATCGAAAGAAAAAGGAATTATCATACTGTTGCATAAGAAAACAATTTTTGGTAGTCCTCATAGAGCCCTCAGATAAGGAAACTGTGAAGAATCCGCGGCGATTAACAGGGTTGTTGATGCTCTACCAGACGGTTGGGTACCGACTCGCTACTTCGTGTTGACAAAAAGATCTTTCAGATCATAACAAAAGTTTTTTCAAGTACTTTAACTATCTAAAGAAAGCAGTTAATTTACAGCTTACTTGGAAGGGATATTTGAAATTTAATTTTTTGTTGTTGTTGCTCAGTAAATGATAGCAAATTCACTAGATCCAAATTTCCAATATTTGTTTTAATTATCGTTGAATAGATAAGAATTAGTAGATGTGCTGGATTTATAGTAATAAAAATGTGTTTATTTTTGAGTATTCCTTAAAAAAAAGCTTTGCTTTTTAATTGGAAAAAGGAAGAAGAGTAGTAAAGGAAGAGTGAGGAAAATAAAAATATATAATATTGGTTCTTGTTTACTATTGCGTAATTTTTACAAGAAAAAAAAAGAATAAGATGACAACGACGACAATGAGGAAGACATCAGCAGAGAAGTTTTACAATCTAATTGCTTTGCGTATTTTGAATGACCGCTGAAACGCCCGAGA